TTCCACTGAAGCATTCCCCTGTGGAAACACCTCATATCTCTCACATTTCATCTGCTCAGTGTTTGGACCAAGTCATACCTGTGTGTTATTTTTCCAAACCTCCATCATTCATCTCCTGTGAATTCTTTTATGTACAACAGCACACGCAGCTTAAGGCTATCGCTGAAACGCACATATTGTGATTCACGCGGCGTGTTGATTTCATACAGCCTGGCTTTAGTTTGCATCGCATGTTATTGACACTTTGCAGCTGATGTCGTGAAGATTCCCCGGGGGACGTGACGTGATGCTAACTAGAGGCATTACTCTGTCTGAAGCTCTGTTACTCAAGCTTTAATCTGAAAACACTGACCTAGACCGGGACCAGACCAGGACTGAGAACAGGACTGAGACCAGAACTGAGACCAGGACCAGACCAGGATCAGACCAGGACTGAGACCAGGACCAGACCAGGACTGAGACCAGGACCAGACCAGGACCAGACCAGGACCAGACCAGAACTGAGACCAGGACCAGACCAGAACTGAGACCAGGACCAGACCAGGACCAGACCAGGACTGAGAACAGGACTGAGACCAGGACTGAGACTGGAACCAGACCAGGACTGAGACTGGAACCAGACTAGGACCAGACCGGGACCAGACTGGGACCAGCCCCGGACTGAGAACAGAAGAAGACCAGGACCAGACCGGGACTGAGACCGGGACTGAGACCAGGACTGAGATCGGGACTAGACCGGGACTGAGACCGGGTCCATACCGGGACCAGACCGGGACCGGACCAGGACTGAGACCAGGACTGAGACCGGGACTAGACCGGGACTGAGACCGGGTCCATACCGGGACCAGACCGGGACTGAGACTGAGACCAGTCCGGGACCAAACCGGGACCAGCCCAGGACTGAGAACAGAAAGAGACCGGGACTGAGACCGGGACCAGACCGGGACCGGACCAGGACTGAGACCAGGACTGAGACCGGGACTAGACCGGGACTGAGACCGGGTCCATACCGGGACCAGACCGGGACTGAGACTGAGACCAGTCCGGGACCAGACCGGGACCAGCCCAGGACTGAGAACAGAAAGAGACCAGGACTGAGACCGGGACCAGACCGGGACCAGACTGGGACTGAGACTGGGACCAGACCGGGACTAGACCGGGACCAGACCGTAATTGAGACCAGGACCAGATGGTGATTGAGACCAGGACCAGCCTGGGACTGAAAACGGTTTAGTGAAAACACTGACCTGAAGATTTGACTGTTCGGAATTACAAAAGATGAGCTGATTTTTGTGCTGTTGAACAAGTGCCGCTCAAGTAACATTATAGTCACAAGTGAGTTCGTTTTAGCCAGTAACAGTTTTTCAGTTTAGTCTCTCTCACCTTTTTATTCAAAGTTAAACATCTAAACAGGACCTTGAATTGATCACAGGCTCCTGAAAATGTGTTGTTTCTCTTTTGTATTTTTTGGACATAATGAACCCTTGGACAGGTGTCAAAACCAGTATGTCCTCATCCATCAAAACAGCATCCTCAATCCGTGTGTTATTCGTTCGTTTTTCAAAATAAAACCAAAAATAAGAAAATGAAAAAACAACTATTTTCTTCATTATTTGTCTCCAAAACCAAAATGAAAAAACAGATAATGATTTGTTTTTTCAGGTTTTGATTTTGTGCTTAAATGAATAATGGAAAAAACAGATAACGGGACTGAACCAGAACTAAACCAGGTCTAGGACCAGACCGGGACCAGACCAGGACCAGATCGTGATTGAGACCGGGACTGAGACCGGGACCAGACCAGAACTCAGACCGGGACCAAACCGGGACTGAAACCGGGACCAGACTGGGACTGAGACAGGGACTAAGACCGGGATCTGACCGGGACCAGACCAGGACTGAAACTGGGACCAGACTGGGACTGAGACAGGGACTAGACCGGGACCAGACCAGGACTGAAACTGGGACCAGACTGGGACTGAGACCAGGACCAGACCAGGACTGAGACTGGAACCAGACCAGGATCAGACCAGGACCAGACCGGGACTGAGACAGGGACTGAGACCGGGATCAGACCTGGACTGAGACTGGGACTAAACCGGGACCAGACCAGGACTGAAACCAGAAAAAGACCAGGACCAGACCAGGACCAGACCGGGACCAGCCCAGGACTGAAACCAGAAAAAGACCAGGACCAGACCGGGACTGAGACCGGGACCAGATCGGGACCAGACTGGGACTGAAACCAAGACTGAGACCAGGACTAGACCGGGACCAGACCGTGATTGAGACCAGGACCAGACCGAGACTGAAAACGGTTTAGTCCTGGTTTAGAACTAGTTTAGACACCGTGGAGCTTTAAGTGTAGTCGTGGCATCATCTGTAAAATGGGCTTTTGTGGATCATTCTGCTCTGTTTTGGAGTCAGATATAATTACAAAAAGCATTCAGGATTTCAACAATAAAAAAATAAAAGTGTATATGTAAAGAAAATAAAGATTTCAGTGTTTTTTAAGATGGGTACAAAATTATAGTCAATGTCACAGTTAAAAGTTTCTTTTAATTTAACGCCTATACTGAAGAAATCTACTTTTGCTAATGTGACTCTACTTCAGTTTTTTTTACAGCTGTGAAGGAAGAAGTTGTATCTGTAATTCAAAATCCTTGTGATGTTATTTTGTGCTTGATTAATTGGGCAAATGGGATCATTTTTGCAATAGCTTTTATCAAGATGATCAGCAAGCGTATATCAAAATGAAATTCAACCATGGGAACTATTTGGTCCTCACACAGATTTGATCTCAGTCGCATCTGTAATGAGAAATCCTGGAAAGGACTTTGTAACCTTATAATGTTCTTCAAGAAATTAAGCTTGGTCTCTTACACAAATCTTATGGGAATTGTTCTGTACTGTTTAAAGGTGTATTGTGTAACTTTTCTGCTGGAGGGTCTGCCAAATGCTTTTCTCCATGTTGTGAGATGTTATTGCTTTGTCTGGAAAGTGAACTGGTGTGGTATAGGATTTTGACCTCGTGGTGAGGTGAGGGTCAGAATCCTATTATGGTATGTTGACCCCTCTATAGAATATTGACCCCCCCTATGAAAATCTATATTTTTATTATAACATAACAAGGTTGTTATTCTTACAAACCATTGCCTAAATTGACATTATGATTAAGGATTATCTGAGCATAGCAAACTAAAAACCATAACAATGTAAAATACAATATAAAAAGTGACAAGAATGCTATGCAATTAAAACAATACGTTACATTTACAAGTCCAAGTTATTATCCATCAAAACATTCCTTAAAATACCTTAAAAGAAAGTGAATATGTAGCAATATATAATAAAACTAAATGACATGTGAAATAATGATAATATAAGTAACTACTAAAGAAAAAAGTAAGTGGAGTCAAAATCCTATGGGGGGGGGTCACTTTACTATAGCGGTATGTTGACCCCGGGGTAAATATACTATGGGGGTCAAAATACTATCTAACACTGTATTGAATTGATTCAAATATATCGTATTGAATCGAAAGTGCACTGTATTGAGATATGTATCGTATCGTGGCCTATGCATCGAGGTATGTATCGTATCGGCAACTTCTTACTGATACCCAGCTCTAGTTGTAACGTTGTTTCCTCATCACAAACATTATGTTTTGTTCCATTCACACGTTTAACACACAAACCCTGCAAATTTAGGCTGAGCTCTTCTCTTAAACAGAAAACTGCTCCACTGTATTTTTAAACTCCATACACCTTGACTAGAATCATTTGGATGCCTTCAAATTCTTTGTTATGGTTCAGGAATAGCTAAACAAATAGAGGGGACAACATTGACATGATTCTTTGCTCCATTTCAGCACAGAAAGCATGAAGAAATTATGTTGTTAAGCACTTTAAAATCTTAGTTCTTAGGATTGTCAAGGCAATCAGAAACAAGAGGAACTACCACACGCAGGATCTTCGCTTGACGACCAATGAGGAGCCATGTGCCATGTCTGATGAGAGAGACAGGAATAATCTCACAGCTGTAATCAGTTCTGGCTCGGGGGTAGTGCAGTGAAGTTTAAGTAACAAGAGACTGTTTGGACTATTTTACCTGTTACATACAGTCAAAATTGAATGTATACTGTATGTAAGCCCCCTTTGCCTAATGAAGTAAGTTGCAACTCACAGCTGACCACCATCAAACCTTGCCTAAACCAGACAGACCAGCATTCACTCAAACTTACAAAGAGAAATTTAGAGAAATTATTCAAACAGAGAAGAGACCACAACTGATGTGATCAAAACATTTTATTTTTAAGCCTGGAAGTGTCAGTCTGCGAGGAGGGTTGGTTGTTTGCATATTTGACAAAGTGACAACAATGCAACTTTGTTTTGAGAAAACTCAAGAACAAGAATTCTGTTTTTTTGAAAATGAAAAAATAATAAGATATAGTGTTGAACATACCAATAAAGGTGGACCAGAGTTTTGGTCTGAGATAACTGTCCAGCACAGGATATGAATGTTGCACCCACAAAATAACAATAAGTTCAAATATTTGTGCAGAGAAACACAAATCTATTACAGAAATCTTTTTTAATTGATGAACTGTTTCTTTTACAAAATATTATATTATTATTAAGAACCTGAAACTTTAAGAAAAATGCAATTTCAACACAATGTTTTAACATGAACTTGTATGTAAACAGGAATAAGTCAATTTTTCTTGGAAAATCCTGCACTCGGCTCCACTTTTCTCATGTTGGGACATTTTTCTGATGAGGGTGTCACAGTCAAAACGATCGTCCTTTAAGACCACGTACAGAGACGCTGGAGACGCTGCTGTGATAAACACCACAGAAAATTAACAATATTTTAATAGAAAATATAATTACAATATTTTTGTAGAAAGTCAGCTGAAGACCAGATTAAAGGTCTTGGAGGGCCGAATCTGGCCCCCGGGCCTTATGTTTGACCCCTGTGCTCTATAATGATTAAGTGCTTACCGGTCATCTGTGCTGCTTTGAGGGCTGCTCTTGGAGCTTTTGAAGGTTGGCTGGTAATCCACTTCAGAGGTTATTGGCCAGGGTCGTTGGCCTATCCCTCTAGGTTGCTGTAAGCCTGCTCTCTGCTCCTCCTCTGAAAGCATCTGACAGAGGTTTATCATCATAGTAATTTGTCTCTTTTCACTCAAAACATTATTTAATGTAAATGTTCTGTTACAAGAAGTAAAAAGTTATCTGGTGTTAATAGAGTGTATTCTGTGTTATTGGCAATTATCTATAGCAGAACAATAGGTTAAGAGTACTAGACATACAGAAACCAGTGTGCGTAAGACAGCCTCATCATGTTGAGTCCAGAACTTTGAAGGACATTTTAGCCTTTTCATGAAAAGATTTTGCCATTTCTGCCTGAGCTCAGATACCAGTCCTGCTGCCTGAGGAGAAACATTACATCAAAATACAAATAAACTCAAATAAAATACCTAGATAACAAATAGATTACAACAAATGTAAAAAGTAAAACTGAAAGTGGATTTTACTTCTATGTCCAACTGAAAAACAAGGCAGTCATCAACCTTCATCTCCGCCAGCTCCTCTGAGTCACTGTCACTGTCACTTGTGACATTAACTGAACCATCTACAAGGCAAACCATGAGTGAATCAGGACATTCTACACAGTTGCTGAGTTCATGTAGATGTTAACCATTATGTTTGTTATGTCTTCCAGATTACCTTTTAAAGAGGCAGGTTCATGCAGGGCAGAGCTTGAGAATTTTGTAGAACCACAAAAAATAGCAATAGTGACAGGGGTCACCATAGAGCAACAGCGAACACTGGCCCTTCTTCGGCCTCTTCTCATCTCATCGAATATGAGCCAGTCTGTTGGAAGCATCTGTGCCTTCTTGGTTGAGAGACCCTGAAGATAATAATAAATAGTTGTTTTAAAACTAACTAAAAAAGGAGCAGCAGACCTCACACATCAATGTGCAGACCTTGCAAAAAGTTAACTATTGTATACAATGTTTGGTTGCATACTGACTGAAAAACCTGAATATATTCAAAATTATATTCAAAAGGTTAAAAGTGTCTTACCTCTTTTAACTGGGTCTGGCTTAAAATTGACGTTGCATGGAACTGAACCTTTTTCTCTTTGCTGCTAGACATGAGAGAGGCTTCCCTGTTAATATGGACAAGGTTTGGATACATCCCAGCCACTAGTGCTGCCTTTACCACCGCCCAGTTCTCAGAGTTCAGATTTACATCTCGAATGTTATTACCACCTCGTGCCCGAACAAAACCTAAAATAAAAAAAAATTGTGTTGCTGTTGTATGAATCTTCTGTATAGGAATAGCCCCTTACCAATGGCACGCAGCTGTCCCAGCAACTGTGTTCTCATTTCCAGTATCATATCCAGAGTTGCCCGAGAAAGAAAGTTCTTTTCACAAAAGGATCGTTCCCAGCCTTCACTACGAGCTTTTTGCCAAGCCTGAAAAACAAAACAAAAAAACTATTGTAATTTTTGTAGCGTTTCAAAAAATACTTTTTTTCCGCTGAGTATCAACCTGAAAGGCTCGGAGCAGGGCCATGTGGTCACTGAAGGTGCCTGAGGTAAAGCCTTTGCGACACAGTAGAGCAGCTCTCCTTTGAGAGCCCTGGGCAGGTAGTATAAAAGGGTCTCGATAGGCAAGGGTGCAGGCGATGGTGAGGATGGGGTCCAGGCACTTCAGCACCACAGCACAGAGAACCATTTTGCCCAGATGTGGCTCTATGGGCAAATCGGCCAAATGGGAGCCCAAATCGGTGAGATCTTCATGTTGGTCCAGTGCATCTATGGCCTGTGAAAAGGAGGAGGAAACAGCATTACAAAAGTTGTACAGCTGGAATCATGTGGACACAAGTTACCTTGAGGATCTGCACAGCATTTTGTATAGCATGTGCTGGTGGAGGCTGTGGAGCTTTAGACAAGAATTTGGCCAATGGGCAAGAGGCAGGAGATAGCAGTTTGGTCTGCAGACACAACTTCTTTAAACACAGATTACATAATTGTAAAGGTAGTTTTTAAAATGTATGCTGTAGTCATCTACTGGTCAGGTTTAAGTGCATTCCTGCACTGGAGCACCTGTAGAGGCATCTGTAACAGCTGGGGGACCTGAAACTCCTGCATGGTGTTGAAACGGACTCGGCTGAACAGATGAAAGCAGATTCCCGATCTACAGCGTCCAGCTCTGTTGACATGTCAATTTATGAATAAAGCACATTTTTTATAATTTATTTATAGTGAGATAAGTAATATGTGCATGTATTTACCTTCCTTTTCGTTGAAGTGCACTCGCTTTTGAGACCCAAACAGTCTTCAGCATTGATACATGACTCAGAGAATCATAGGATTTCTACAGCAAGAAATAATTCTCAATTCAATTTAACAACCAAATGAAACATCATTAATTATGAACAGAGGTAACTGAAGTAGTCAAATATTATATGCAAGTAAGAGTACCATTACTTCAAATAATACTCAAGTACAAAGTAGTGGTCCAAGAAATGATTCAGGTAAGAGTAAAAAAGTATTTGGGAAAACTACCACTCAAGCAAAAGTAACTTAAACAGTTGGGATGTAGCATCTGATGTAGATCTTGGAAGTTAATATAATTAGAAGGAAAAACTCTAAATAATACTCAATGTCTGGTATTTCCAGATAATCTACACAAAAATTTGAAAAGCTACATTATAAGGAGCAGTAAAAGAAACAGAAATATTCCATTTTAATATTGTCTCAATAAAGCTTTTGTCACTAGTAAACTTACTTGCAGTGGGAAGAGAAACTAAAACCTTTACTTAAGTAAGAGTACTGCAGCTAGAAAAGCAAAATTCATTTAGAAAGTTACTCAAGTAAATGTAACTGAGTAAATGTAACTACCTACATCTCATTATCAAGTATTTTTCCCTTACCTCCTTGACTTTTCCAGAGTCAATGACAAAGACAACATCATTGATAGTGATGCTTGTTTCTGCGATGTTTGTTGAGAGGATCTAGAAAAAGGGTTGTCACTTGTCACGGTTCAAAGCATAGCTCTAATCAATACTTGCAAACAAACAGCTCACAATTTTTCTAACACCAGGTGGCGATGTCTTCATGGCTTTTTTCTGATCAGAATTTTGCATATCTGAATGTAGGGTGAACACCTGATATCTGCATTTATAAACACACATTGCTATGTTATGTGCAGATACAATGAAGAAATGAGCTGCCCTTTATAGAATAACAAAAACAGCTGCTGTAAACTTTAATGAAACGTTACCTTTCAGAGAGAGTTGAAAACCTTTTGTCATCAAAGTAAATGCGATCCCTGAGTGCCACAATCTCATCATATCCAGGGAGAAAAATAAGAACAGCACCTACGACATGACAAAATATTATGAATACAAAGCAATTTACTCCAAATCTTTGTAGTGGAAAAAATTAACTTACATTGTACACAGTCTGAGAAAAGAAAGGTCATCATTATCTTACCTTCAGCGGTGGTGGTACAGATGTGATGCAGAAGGGTCAGAATGAGGTCCAGATCTACATACTCATCGTCAAAGCTGTGGTGATACAGCTCGAGCAGCTCCTGGTCCTCTAGGCTCAGCTCTCCACTAGCACACTGCAGTAGAGCAGTTTCATCTGTCTGATTTACTCTTCCAAGAGGGCTGGAATAACAAGTGTAACAATGAACTGATTAACTGATTCTAATGTACTGTGAATAATTGAATGCAACAGAAAGAGAAATCTTACATTGATGACTGGAGTAGATTCACTGCATCCATCTGGTTAAAGTGCACGGCAAAGTCCAATGCAGACCTGAACACAGATAAAAAAGGTTGGCATTCCAATGTGACAAGTTGTGTATCTCATGACCATAAAAAAAAAAATTACTTACCAACCATTGGATGCCTTTATGTTCATATCAGCCCCCATGCTCAAGAGTTGTTCCATCTGCTCAATACATCCTCGACCAGCTGCCACCATTAGAGTGGTAACACCGGTCTCACTGTGGGTATAATCGACTAAATTTGGAAATAATCAGGTTGAAACTGTAAATAAAAATAAATAAGTAATAAAAATAATAACATAAATATACTAATTTTAAATATAAACATAATATAATATATCATAACATAACATAACATAATATAATATAATATGCAAGCTTAGACGTACCATTTACATTCTCATAGAGAATTAGATAAAAAATTTGGGTAAAAGCATCTTGATTTTCACCAAGAAAGATGTTGGAAATGCACATGTCCATCTCAGTCATCAGCCTTGGCTCAAGGACATCTATGCCATTCTCTTCCTGTATAAAACATACAAAAAAAATTGACAACAAATATATTATAATAATACAGTAAATTTGAAATACTGCACTTTGATTAGTCTCTGCTACAATGTGTCCAACTTACTGATTTCCACAGGGTGCTGCCTTCTTTGTTTGGGTGACTACGGCTTAGTACTAACTCAGACACAGCTACATTCAGAGCCTCAACAGAACTGCTCTGCACAACTTTACACCACTCTGTCAAAACCTTCTCTTTAATTTCTTCTGTAAAAGATCAAACATGGGTTGTGAGACTAGTGGTTACTATTGCTGAATTCTGTTAGCATCATGTTGCTTATAGCAGTGCTAAGTCCTCTTCCAACCATTTGCCAGTACATCAGACTGAATCCCAAATATGGTAGAAAATAATTCCATAAATACACAGCTATAGAGATAATATAATATGGAACAAATATGTATTACTTTTCTCTTTTTCCTCCTTGTACTTCTTCATGTCTTTAACTTTGTAACCAGTCATCTTCAGAATATCTTCCAAAAAAAGTTCCTTCACTTCGAACTGCCTTCCTTTGACTAGAATAAAAAAGCAGATCTGATTACTACCATATCAATACCCTGTTATGAATTATAGAAATATAACAGTGCTCACTGTGGAGGACAGGGCAGGACCCAAAGTACTGAAGAAACAGGTCTATATCCAGAGCAGCACTGATGAGGATCAGTTTTAGAGTGGGAACCTTCTGAAGCATGTCTCGCATCTTTGTCAACAGGAGATCTGTCAGACCATCACGTTCATGCACTTCATCCTGTAAAGAGCAGCAGTTTACCTTTTGGCCATTAAACTAGCTAGTGCTTACCAGTAGGGTGATCATACTAATCATTGTATCAAATCAAATAATTAGTAACCATATTAATAATTGCATACTACAATAATACCTGCTATTATCTTGTGTTGCAATTATGCTATATATCTTTTCTGTGATCGTTATTGTATCAAACTCTATATTGAGACATCAAAATTCAAGTTTGAAATTATGACAACTCTACTCACCACTATCACATGTGTGACTGATGTCAAACTGGCATCTCCAGCCATCAAAGTCCTGAGAAACACTCCACTTGTACAGAAAGTCAAAAGTGTCTTGGGAGAAACCCTAAAATCAGATTGTCTTTTTTATATTTATTTTGCCTAATAAAAAGGAGAGGTCAAAAACTGGAACTCCTAGAAATCGCTAAACAATGATACATGACTTTCAATAGCTTCATTTGCATTTACCTGCTCTCAAGTCTGATGTAATAACCAACAGTTTGCCCCACACTCTCTCCTCTTTCTGCTGCTACCCTCTCGGCCACAGCGATGGCGGCCAGGCGTCTGGGTTGTTTGCAAAAGATCCTGCAGGGCTCTCCCCTTCTAGTGCAGTCATCAAGAAGGAACTGGGGAATCTGGATGAAAACATAGCATTAAATTGGCTTTGTGTTAACAGGACTGGTGGCACACTTTGATTCAAACAAAGCAAAATATTGGCAAAAATGTGGTATTCAGTAACACTGGGTTTACCTGTGTAGTTTTACCAGAGCCGGTCTCTCCCACTACCAGAATGACACGGTTTTCTGTGTTAAGCTGCACAATCTCCTCTCGTTTTTGGTACACTGGCAGAGAGCACCTGAAATTGTCAATATCTGTGCGATTTCTTTTTCTGGGCACCATAGGAATGCCATTGTTTAAACATCCACTTGCTCTATTTTTGTCACAACCACCTACAATAATAACAAAACATAGTAAAAAAATGCACTGACTGTGGATTCAAATCAGAAGGGATTTGATGACCTACCAGCTTCAATGGCCATCCTCAGACTGCTGTTACTGCTTAAATGAAGGTCTGTGAGCTCTTTGCTGGTGATGGGAAATCTCTGATGCAGGCTCGAAATCAAGCACAAAGTGTTGTGAGAAAGGGTGAGAGGCACTGTTCGATGTTTTTCTGAACCATCAGTTTTTCTGATAGTAATATATCGATGTAATCCTTTCCTGAATTTAAACATTTCAAAAACAAGTTAAATTTGAGTACACACTCTTTCAATAAAAATAGTATATTCTCAACCTACCCTATGCTTTTAGAGATGTACCCCAGAGACTGGGCTAAGCGACGAATGAAGGCCCTTTCTGTACTTGAAAATACCGAGGGAAATTCCATCTCTGTTTATTCAGAAAAAGTATCATATACTGTTTTCAATACAGTTCCAATAATTGACAATGATGTACAGCTTTATTTCACACCTTTCTGGTCACTGGAGCGAAACCTCTCCAAAGCGAGGTTCACAGCTAGTGTCACGTCTTCATCGAGGTCAGTGTCTTTGAGTCTACTGGACACACATCCCCTCTTTGGTGTGCTTTGGCCTTTCGCCGGTGTTTTGGAGGACACACCAGTATGGAACATTCTGGGAAAATGATTAGATGATTTAACACAATTCTATCACGTTATAAATGAGTACATTTACATGCACATCAGTATCCCGGTTATCATCGGGTTTTTTGAGTATCCCGTTTTCTTCATGGTGCATGTATATGTAGTATCCCAGTTTCAGTATCCCGAAAAAGCCAGTATCCCGGTCATGAGAAACCGGGATACTAGCTGGTATATTCTGATAGTAACTGGGATACTGTGGCATGTACACGCAGTATCCCAAATACTACAACATAAAGTTGAGTGCGCATGCGTCCGAAAGACAAACACTTTTCAGTCTTTTCACCACAACAATAGTGACATAAATAAAATGCCCAGCATAAATAAAGTGACCATACATGAGTGAAATGACTGGGTTTTCAGTACCGTTCATTGGGGGCATTAAACTGAGCGTCTCTCTTAGCGTCTGTGACTCAGAAGGAGCGAGACACAAACAGTTGGTCAGTCTGCAACGTACCGAAGCACAAATGCGCATTTAACAATGACTTGTACAAGAAATTGTCCGTTTTCCGTCCCGGTTGGGACAAGTGGGAGACCATGTGCACAGGTTGTGAGGTGAGAGTACAGTGTTCCCTCGTTTATCGTGGGGGTTACGCTCTTAAAATAACCCACGATAGGTGAAATCCACGGAGTAGTCAACTTTATACTTTACAATTATTCTATCTGTGTTAAGGCTGTAAAACCCCTCAGCACAAACTTTATACACTTTTCTCAGACAGGACAGGTGCAACCCTTTTTACTTCCTTCTTGAAACTTGTTGCTGCTGTCGTCCTTGTGTTATTTTCCTCCTTCTTTATGTAACGAACTGAAGATTCATTTATTCCGTAATGGAGCCGACAGCGCAGAGTCCTGCACGGGTCCATTTTTGGAGACCCCCAGTACAACACCGCAGTACAGGACCACACCTGCCCGTTAACCCGAGATTATATCAAACTTTTGCGCTGCCTACACCACAGACTGAACCAAGACTAAACCAGGACTAACCCAGGACTGATCCCAGGACTGAAGAGGAGGACTAATCCACGACTGAACTAGGACTAAAACAGGACTAAACCAGAACTGAACCAGAACTGAAACAGGACTCACCGTCAGAACGGGCTCGAAGGTGACCACAGGAGAAAGGACCGGCTCAGCTCCGCGCCTCACGGAGTTAAACGCGGGAATTGCGTTAAACGCGGGAATTGCCTGATCGCGCTTTGTGGACAAACTGCTCGGCGTTTTCTCTCTTAAGTCCAAGATTAGTCCTGGTTTAGACCTGGTTTAGTCCTGACCCACCCGTGTGTAATTACTACCCGCTTGTAATACACAATACGCGTTCATAGATGTCCCCCCCCAAAAAAGGTGTCCGGGTTTTCACAAACGGAAATATGGTCACCCTATGTTTACGCACTCATTTTAGTACATTTCCTAACCACACAACTCAAAAATATGTAAACTGAATAACAGTATTTTAATAGAGTACTTGTCACCGGACTGGGTTCGTCGCTTTCACTATTCTCATTTTGTTAACGAAAGCTAGAAGCTATAATCCATCATGTCTACTGTGTTAGCTAGGCAAAATTTATTGACCTAGACATGGCCAACATATCGGTTAGATAGATTTGGCAAGGTACAAACACTGCTTAAGTATATGTGTGGAGAGAAAGAGACCTTATTGTTGTTTTAGTCTTTGTAGATTTGTTGTTCCATCAAAGACGCGCCCTGACTCTGGACTCCGGTCTGTTTCGTTTGCCGCCAACGAAGACTGCACTTCCGTTACAAAATAAAAGTATATCACTTTTATTTTGTTACGGAAGTGCAGTCTTAAAGACCATGGAAATATTTTTCACACATCACAAACCGATTATTTTTATTAACACGAGACATTAGATAGAATAACCACCAATAACACAGAATAATCATCATGGTCCAGAGTGAAATTTTATTTTGTCGTCTTCACAATAACATGATATGTGTGACATATGAAAAAGTCACAAAAAATAATAACAAATATTAACATAAACAGCTTTTTTCTCATGTAGATCTGTGGTGAGCTAAAGTCCATCAATTTTAAGGCAACTACTGTAGTAAAACTAAAAGAAGACAAGAGGACATAGAAAAAAGATACATTTATTAAACATTAACAAAAGCAATCTTATTTTATACACAGTGCAGCTTTTCTGGTACAACATAATCAGAAAACAAATGAAAAAGGAATCTAGCTGTAGGCAAATATGAAGATAATGGCTGAAACTTTGGTGGATGGATTTTGTATTATAATATGGCAATAATGAATGAATTCATTATTTAGTAAAGGCAAACAGCCTTTGGTGAATAAAGAATCAACTTGCACCATTTTGTGAGCATGAATGATAAGCACACATCTGAATTTAAAAGTGTACAAGCACATGGCTAGTAGGTCTGAGCAGCATTTTAAACATTAGAAATGTTCATGTAGAATAAAACCACATCACATGTTCATCTACCATAAAGATTTTCCCCAATAAAAGCAAAAAAACAAAAAACAAAAAAAAAACATAATTTTGAGTAAAATAATAATATAAAACTAATGTACTCTTTATTCTATCTCATTATCCAAGTAAGTGAGGAATGCAGTGCAGAACATGAAAGACAAAAACATCGATCAAGGATCATGCCCAGGTTTACAATTCTGGAGGTCTATTTTACAGAAAATTATTCTTAAACAATGTGTGTTCATTTAAACATGGTAAATCCAGGAACAGTCTTAAAAGCATGGCAAAAGTTGTCTTCATGATTGCCTCTTTGTCAAATGTGAAGTTGAGGCAAGCATTTGATGACAGAAGCTGCTCCGAACACAGGAAGAGGACTCGTGACCACTGGAGTTCAACTGAGCCATATATATAAAAAGAAAACATTGCTGGTTTGTATGCAGGTTGTATTCAAACAAGCAATTAAAATCTACAAAGATTTAAACATTAGGATATCATTATGCATTAAAATGAGCCTGTGTGTCTTTGGCATGCACAAGTGCCATTCTGTCAGTCCATGTTTGTAAGTAAGTAGTAAGTAAAGTTTATTTATATAACACAGACATAGGTCACAAAGTGCTTCACATACAAAAGATAAAAACAGCAGAAGATACATTCATAATAAAATAAAATCAGTCATAGCAGCTCTAAACCTGTGGGGCGGGAACGCTTGTTCAAAGCGAAATGTTTTTAGTTACTTTTTAAAAGCATCTACACTTTCTAGAGAGGTAAGGAGGCAGTTCATTCCAGAGTTTAGGGGAGAAGGCTTGAAAGGATCTGTCATGTCGTGTTTAAAAACTTGTCCGCGGGACCATTAGTAGGCTGGCTGGTAGACCGCAGGCTAGAGACAGAGGTGTACGACTTTATTAGATCTGTGATGTAAGCAGGAGCCTGGCCATGTAGGACCCTAAAGGTCAGCACCAGGATCTTAAAGTGTACGCGAAAAAGAACAGGAGCCCTGTGGAGTGGGTAAGACTGTATTTAGTGGCAGGATAACTATGGCCATTGACATGCACTAGCCTAGCACCAGCAACATCTGCAAATACAAGGACTGGATGTCTCCAACACTCTCGCTAACTAGGAAATGAGGTCCTATGTCCAAAATTTCGGACTGTCCCTTTAAACCTGCAAGCTATACCCTTGTTGGAGAGCTCTAACCGTAGTTTCATGAGGATGACCAATAGATGGTCCTCCAGGGTCAGAGAGCCATGCCCAGCTTCTGCACTGTCTTTATCTACCACCAGGACCCAATAAAAGAGGACACTGGTCAGACCTGTGAAGAACAGGACATGTGCTGCTTTACACTTGAGAGAGTGGCCAAGGAGAACTGTGTACCCCTGACCATTTCTTTTAATTGTTCATTCTCTGCTTTTGGTTTGTTGATGTCCACACGTGATGCACTGTCACACTCTATCTGAAGTTGGTTGTGCTTCTGTTTGAGGTCATCACAGTCAACCTCTGGGACTGTAGATTCTGAAAAATAAATTGAACCGATCAAAACTTTACCATGTCATCCAATTTTTATATGTAATAGACAGTTACATTCTGGGTGATTCATACTATGACAAACAGGATCATAGCCAAATAATTATTCACAACAAATAATTATTATTTTGTATTCCAGTGACTTGGTTATGACAAAACCTTACAGTTGGCTTGAAGTCACCTAGAATGTGGCAGGAAAAAAGATGTTGCCAAAGTTTAGCAATGCAACATAGGAACATTTAGCCCTGGTATATAAGCTAATTATACTTCAATTTGATTGATTATTTATTCACATATTTCACACACATTTATTCACAACATTAATATATGTAGGACTCAATGAATGTGTTTATAAAAGCCGTGATTCTGACCAGCTAACAGGCTTATATGAAGTGATGGCTATATATATATATATACATATATATACATATATATATATATATATATATATATATATATATATATATATATATATATATATATATATATATATATATATATATATATATATATATATATATATATGTGTGTGTGTGTGTGTGTGTGTGTGTGTGTGTGTGTGTGTGTGTGTGTATGTATATATATATATATATATATATATATATAATTTTTAATTTTTTTTTTTTTTTTTTGACAAAACTCGCTCCATAAAAATGAGATGACACAACTTCAGCTTCATTAATTTTACATCTTAATCAGTGGCTCCAGTGTTTTACATAAGTCAGGCTGTACAAAACAAAACAGAACTTCACTGTGGGCCTCATATGCATTTCTGTGAGTATTACATGATTATACAATGGTAGAACGAAGTGGCAAATAAAGGAAAGTTCATTAATAATTGCTAAAAAAAAAAAAAAGGGGGGGATGCAGAATACATTATGAGATTAGCTTTTCAACAGTTAGCATCTGTCCTCCCACAAGTACTGTACTTAAGTATACATTTTAGGTATTTGTACATTACTTAAGTACATTTTAATGTAAATACTTTTTACTTTTACTGAGTTTCTTGGTTTAGTCCTGGTTTGACCTGGTTTAGGCCTGATGTATACTTGTCTTGGTTTGCTTGTGGTTTAATTGTAATATGCTGCACAAACTCAACCTAAGATTCTGTTTCATTGTTAGATCTTGGCCTGTTCTCATGCATAACTCCTGGACTTAGATTCTTTTCCAGACTGAATTTCTACCTTGCCAAAAACCATTTATTTTTCAGCATTCCAGTAATTCAAGTGGATGTTTACTTCCCCAGTGCCAGAGTGAAGTCGTCTCGTTTCTGCAGGTGGAATCAGACTGGTGTTCTGCCCAGTTGTGTAATTACATTGGACACAGCACAGAGATCTCACTGTGGTGAGCAGATACAATCTTTGTTCTCCTCTGGGCTGGACGCCACACAAACACACACACACACACACACACACACACACACACACACACACACACACACACAACACACAACACACACACACAACACACAACACACAACACAGCTGGTACTTTTAAGCAGTCAAAATGAGTTTCCTCTGTAGGGTGGCCAGGCACTACCTTAGAGAAAGGGTGAGGAGTTTGGTCACACAGGAGGAGCTCAGAATAGTGCTGCTGCTCCTCCACATGGAGAGGAGCAGCTGAGGCTTGTCTGTTTTGGATGCCTCCCTGGGGATGTGTTCATGTCCCACCAGAAGGAGGCCGCAAAGAAGACTCAGGACACACTGGAGGGACTATGTCTCTGTGCTGACCAGGGAACAGGAGGTGTGCGTGGAGATAAAAGTCTGTATCTTCACATCGATATAAGGTTCTCTGCATTTGATCTAATGCCACTGGGGTCAAACCTGTGAGGTGCTGGTGTACCCTAATCCAGATTTGGACTTGATGTGCAGAATACTCATTCACAAAAGAAGCACTACATAAATGGAATGCTTTATTATCATTATTACATATTTCTCTCTGCCAGTGTGTGTCTGTAGAAATGCTTTCAGACAGTGAGTGGTAACAGAGCTAACCCCCAATGATTCACACAAACCCTCGTGGACCTGGTACCACATCACATTCTCTATCAAAATTATAGCTTTGTCAGACGTGCGAACTTTAATCCTGTGGAGAAATGACATTGTGAAAAATGTAAGTGGTTTGCCCGTCCGCTCCTATTAAATCTCCTATTAAAGTCCACACTGCAGTCGATACCTGGCAACTGGAACATCTGATTCACTTAAGAGCTCCACTCGCCTGCTGTTGTCAAAACATGTGGGCTTTTGCAGCTATCACAGGATCTGCTACAGGATACGAAATAAAAAACACTTTCTCAATTCTAGTGTTTGAGAAGACGAGGTAATGTTAGGTTAGGAATGGATCAATGGAGGAGGTTAAAGTTTTGGTGCTGTGGGGGAAATGGGGCAAAGAAGATTACAATTATCCTGTCATGATAACATTTAAACTTGATTTCGATACTCAATACAGATACTACAATGATAATAAAAAAACAAAACACAATTTTTTAGACAATAGAATGTGATTTACAGCATTAAATTATAGTACTTTCTTTTCTGTTCCCATGTGGTCTTATATCTGTGTAATCCCACCAAATCCATGGGTGTATAGTAGTCTATGTGCTCTTCTCAGTGTTGCGGAGTAACAGATTACATGTACCGGAGTTACGTAATCAGAGTACAAATTATGAGTAACTGTATTCGTTACAGTTACTGTTTCAGTGAGTGGTAATTGGATTAAAGTTACTTGGTTGAAATAAATGGATTACACTGCAGGATTTTTCAGTTTTCCATTTTGGGCTATTCCCCTTTTTTTTTTTTTTTTTTTGGTAATTCCACTCATTGCCGGACACAAAACCAGGTCTAAACTCAGGTCCAAACCAGGTCTAAACCAGGTCTAAACCAGGTCTAAACCAGGTCTAAACCAGGACTAAACCAGGATTAAACCAGGACTAAAACCAGGTCTAAACCAGGTCCAAACCAGGTCTAAACCAAGTCTAAACCAGGTCTAAACCAGGTCTAAACCAGGACTAAACCAGAACTAAACCAGGACTAAACCAGGACTAAACCAGGTCTAAACCAGGTCCAGGTCCAGGCGCTATATAAATAAACTTGAATTGAATTGAATAAAGTGTAAAGGTCGACTAAATCGCAAAATTTCAGTGTCAGTTGGGTCATTATAAGTTGATGATGTGAAGCTCTTATTGCCATTTTTTGCAAGGTAAAGTTTGGATTTGTATTAGTCTTATATAAATTGCCCCAAATTTCAATATAGTAATACTTAACATCAATGAGTTAAGGTTATTCTTTGTTCCGTCATAGTACTCCATAATGTATGAAAAAAGGAGATCCGTGGCACTCCAATATACTTTGCTATGATTTTATTTCATGTCACACATCCAGCGCGTTTCGACTTATATCTTCATCAGGGAACGTAAAATTCACAGGTGTGTGTTGAAGGTATTTAAATATTCAAGTCACATGAAGACATCGTCACGTGGTACAACTGTGTAAATATACATTTTAGATATATTTAAAAAGGGACAAAGTGATGCATCACAATAATATGAGCGTGCACAAGTCTGGGCACAGGTCAAGATAAAGATTGGATTTGTATTAGTTTTATATGTATTACCCCAAATCTCAATACAGTAATACTTAAACTTTGTGTGGCAAGGTAGCTGATCATGTGGACTACAAAGGTCAGAGGGGAACCAGGTGACTTCCTCTTCCTGAGCAGGCCTAACACACGGCTATTTCTGGTGAGCCAAACAAATGTAATGTTTGTACATTTTAATCTTGTTAGAAAACAGATTTGTAACTTTTGTAAATATAATTTTAAGGGTTTTAACAGTGTAGATTAGAGGTATGCTTTTAACTTTTATCTTATTGTTTAATTTTAGTTTGATGTATTTTATTAACTGCACTGTGTTACAGGCTCAGTGCTGGTTGCCGTTTTTGAGTTTTAGTTTTGATTGTTAATTCATTAAGCTCTGCAGTGGGTGTGGGCTGGAGGTGTCTGGGTGTGGAGGGCCTCACATAGAGGGTGACTTTATTTATAGTTCTTGGTGATGGTGGCACTTGTAATTGGGTGTTTTCAGTTGTGGTAACTGTTTTCTTTGTATTAATCTTGTTTGTTTTCTCACTTTATAGCATGTCTCCTTCACCCCAGCTTTAGGGTGGAGCCTCACCCCTGCAGTAGTATCCTCACCTGTTAAAAGCACCTTTTAATATTTTTGTAAATAAAAGCTGCCGTATGGCTGTTAGACCCACACACTGACTGGCTTGCTTTGTTATTAAAGCTACCTGTAAATTCCAGGTGTTACATTTGTGTGTAGCATCAATGAGTTAAGGTTATTCTTTGTTCCAACATAGTACTTCATAATGTTTGGTTGGCAACCCATTTAAATGAACTTTATGTAAACTGAACTGAAACGTGTAAGGAATACTATTAGTGTTTACAGTGTACTCAAAAAAAAAATCTAAATAACTGATACTGTACTTAATATCAGCTTTACATTAATGTATTTCTGACCAGTAACATGACAAATATGATAATTCTGTAATATCACACGGCAGATCTCTGAAATTCTAATAGACTGTGCCCTATGCTTTATTTTGAAATGACTGTTCTTCTTTCTCATCTCCAGGACTCCATGATCAACTTCAAACTTTCAATGATTTCAGCAACTCGTTCAAGAATTCAGATTTAAAGCCCTTTCTCTGTGTAGTGTCCTCTTCATCTGGTCGAATAAAACCTTGGCTTACAATTGTGCACGTTGTTTAAAATGCCAGAGAAAGACTTTTATAATGAACTACCGATAATAGAATTAAGTCGACTTTCCTGAATAGCGTAATTAGCTGAATCTCGACAGTTATAGCGTAGCTTTTGAATAGGCGAGTTATGAATCTGTTTTACTGCGAATTTGTATTCTTCTGCTGTCTGTTCTTGTGCTTTGTGGTGAAACACTGAAATTTCACCATTAAAGAGGGGCTATTACACTTCCACGGGCTCATGCAGATCTCCATGGCCTCTCTGATCCAGCGCTGGTAATATATTACTTTCAGCACAGATGACCCTGGCGTTGTTCCAGTCCATGATGTGCTCTTGTCTTTTGCAGTGATGGTTTGGCTGATTTCAGATTTCCCTGCTCTCCTTCTTCTTTTATGGCTTTTGTGTATCAGACAGTAGGGGGCATAAGCTTCCTCTACTGCAACTTGTAGCTTGGGACCAGTAGCTCTCCAGCCCCTAACACAGGGATGGGCAATTATTTTTTTTCCATGGGGCCACGTGAGAAACAGAAAATATTGTGGAGGGCCTAAATGCTTAACTCAATTCTGCATAATACAAACTGTATTTCTTTATAAGATGCAGTAAATAACATTGTTTTGATGAGCTGGTCAAACTGGTAAGAGTTTATGTTATGACTAAGCAATGAAAAAGTGATGCTGCCTTACAAAAAATGTCATTTTAGAAAACATCTCTAAAATAAAAGCAATGAGGTAAAATTATAAAATATCTTAATTTTGTTTAAACTTCCTGGGTTCTTTTTAAAGACAATACAGTAAAGCTGCAGCTGCTAGCTGCAAGCCATCTTCAGAATTGTCAGCGGTGTTGGTGGTGTCGGTTCGTATATCAGTTGTTGTTACTTCCTGTAGGCGTGGTCAGGTTTTATTTCTTCCTGTAGGTGTGGTCAGGTTTAATTTCTTCCTGTAGGCGTGGTCAGGTGTTGTTACTTAGGCGTGTAGGTGTGATCGGCCTGATGGACCTGGCAGGTGGTTCAGACTGACCCCGACCCCAGTCGCTCGATGTTCTCTGGAGGAGGGTGTCCTAGATGTGTGAAAGGAGGAACCCAAGAAGTTTAAGTACATAAGAAGACAAAATGAACATCTTTGGCTTAATGTTAATTTTGTAGTTCCAAATTACCTCAAACAGGCCGGTCAGAGTCAACCAAAGGCTGCGTGTGGCCAGGAGCTGTACAATGCCCAGGTCTGCCTTAGTAGCTACTAGCTCACCAAAGGATTTCTGAATTATATATGTGGCAAGTTCGCTGATCATGTGACACTTGTGCCACATAAAGGTCAGAGGTGAAGCAGCTCACTTCCTCTTCCTGAGCAGGCCTAACACAGGGTTATTTCTGGTTTGTATATTTTAATCTTGTTATTAAAAAAAAACAAAAAAAAACTCATTTGTAATGTAAAGCTCTTTACAGTCCAGATTGTGGAGGTATGCTTTTAACTTTGATCGTATTGTTTAATTTTGATTGATGTATTTTTATATTATCTGCTCTGTGTTTACAGGCTCAGTGCTGGTTGCTGTTTTGTTGAGTTTTTAGTTTGAGTTACAGTATTGTCAATCTGTCATAGCTCTGCAGTGGGTGTAGGCGGGAGGTAGCTGGGTGTGGAGGGAGCTCACTTTAGAGGGTGACCTTATTTATAGTTATCGGTGAAAGTGATGGCACTTGTAATTGGGTGTTTTCAGTTGTGGTAACAGTTTTCTTTGTATTAATCTTGTTTATTTTTCACTTGTAGCATGTGTCCTTCACCCCAGCTTTAGGGTGGAGCCTCACCCCTGCAGTGGCATCTTCACCTGTTCCAAATAAATCAACCTTAACGTTTTGTTCAGCCTAGACCCACACACAGACTGGCTTGCTTTTTTATTAAAGGTACCTGTGGATCCTCCGGGTGTTACATATTGTGCTGAATGACTCAAATGTGATGAAGTACCATTGTAAATGTATCATTTTGATGGCTAACTTTGTGCACTAATGAATGGATAAAGGTTTGTGTTTTATAGGTATCTAACTAGGCTTTATGCTCAATTTCCTGTGCCTGCAAAAAATAATAGCTCTTTGGCATTTTCTTTTTGTAAAGATGGCTGACCGAGAGAGAGAGAGAGAGAGAGTGAGGTTGGAGACTCCTGCCCTACTCTCTGGGAAAACGAAGTAAAACGGCCACAAGACGTGATGCTTCTGAGGAAGAATACAGGAAGTAGCTAATGTAAAGCAGGTAAAAAAAACCAAAAGTTTATAACTGAAAACAGAATGAAGCTTTACCAAACATATTTAGATCACCATGTTTTTCTTTGTTTCTTTAATAACTTACATTCACTGAAAACAACCTTAAAAAGATGAATTAGTTTCAGTTTTGTTTAGTTTGTCTCTCTGTCACTCTTCTGCATGGGGGATGTTTTGCAGGGAGCTTCCTGATTATGTAGACTTGTGGGTGGATGATTCAGAAAACAATTTCAGACAGGTTTTTGAATGAAGGGAACAATGATATAACATGGTAGAAAGTTTTTAAAAAAAAGTTGATTTAGCAAAATATGCCTCTTTAAAGGTCCCATATTACGCAAATTGACTCTTGAGAGCTTTAAGCCATATTATACGCGGTTATTCCTCTGGAGGTGTTCCGGGCATGTCCCACCAGAAGGAGGCCCCGGGGAAGACCCAGGACACACTGGAGGGACTATGTTTCTCGGCTGGCCTGGGAACGCCATGGGGTCCAACCCGGAGGAGCTGGAGGAAATATCTGGGGGGAAGGAAGTCTGGGAGTCCCTGCTTAGACTGCTGCCCCCGCGACCTGGTCTCGGATAAGCGGAAGAAAATGGATAGCTAAGCTGTTACCTCCTCGAAACAGACGTGTAGTTGTGTTTTGTATCATTTACACATGTTTGAGTAACCCTTATTACTAGTCTGTCTACATTCCCAAAGCTTAACAATGACCTTTTACCTTTTTTTTATCTCTTCAGTAGAGATTGGCAATTCCAGGTCTGAAATCATCCAAATTATTGTAGTGAAGGTGTAGGAGTTTAAAGACATAGTGGAGCACTTCCTGAGTGTTTTCAGTTTGAGAGAAGAACTCAGCTTAAATATGCAGGGTTTGAGGAAACTACATTATAACATGGATCAGAAAATAATGGTCCTTTTAAGGTCTGTAGATAAATTCCTAAAGTTCTCTGCAAATTCTTCAATGTGGTTGGACAAATATGAAAAAAATAGTGGATTTACGGATCAGTTTCATCATCAGTGCATAGATTTTCCTTTTGTAATACAACTTTGGCCTGATATTTTTAAGTCACATTAACACCACTGCTCGTGTTTCTCTTGTCCATTAGATGCATGCTTGTGTGTATAGCTCCACATTAAGCCGAACTAGAGAACTGGATGTGCCCATATTTCCTGTATAATTACCCAGGCCCACCTCTGCGGCTGCATCCAATTAGTTCCTTGACCAACTCCCCACTGCCCCCTTTAGTCCTCTGCTCTGTCTGAACAAGCCTCAGTATAATGTATTCTGCTCATTCCCATAGCAGAGGGTCTTGCAAGAGAAAATTCCATCCCAATTTATTAGCAACATAATGCCCTATTTATTACCGTAATTTCACTTGGAGCCACACATTTCTGTTCTCCTGGTTCATTCAATGTGCAAGGACTCTGCATAAAACTAAATATGTATTATTATAATTTAGATGCATGTGGCAAATTATTCAGTTTTGGTTGTTTTCAGATTAAAATCCTGTCTCTAAAATGGAGCCAGTATTCTTCTAACGACTAAAGGTAATGCTTCACAATAACTATGCTTTTAGGTTTAAAGGTGCACTATGTCACTTTTTGGTTGGGTGTATGTCACCTGCTTGTTTCTATGGAGATGTCACTGCTCTGCCTGGAATGTTCCACAGACATTGAACAGCTCTGCCTTTACTCAATTACAGGTGGTTTTATAGCTCAAAAGCATGCATTCTGATTGTGAGTGGGGTCACCTCTCCGCAGATCTGACCTGTAACTTGGTCTAGTTTGGTCTCCATGAATATAGAAAAGTTTAATGCCATACTGTGAAACATTCCAAATAAAGCAATAACATAATTTGATGGACCCTCCACCAGAAAAGTTACACAATGTACCTTTAAAAAAAAACACAAATTTCTCTAGGACTCAATTCATCTTGAACAAATGGTTCACTAAGAATGATTCGGGTTTAATAACTAATTAATACCTTAACTCTTTAATAAAGGTGCAATATGTAACATCAACTGCTGATTCCATAGAAACAAAGTTAAAACCATAGTTTGTAACATTTTCCATGGAGATAAGTCTGCCATATTGAGGAAGATTTTTGACCAATCAGGAAAACCCACACACTTTGACATAACTTAACTAAGACGCGTGGGCCTGGAACAGTGTCCTGTGATTGGTGGGTTACTCACTAAGAGAGAAGCATGGTCAGCTTAGATTTCTGCACAAATTCATCTCAGGTCAAATCAGTTACCTTATATATTTTATTCTGAATGGTACAAGCATTTTCAAGAGGAGATGTCTTCCGCATCTGAGAGACACATTATACAAATTAGCAGCTGCGGTTGGACCGTCCCAAGTTTGGACAGAGGACTTTAATGATCTATGGTCCAATTCCAGATCCTTCTGGAGGCAAACAGAATGTAGAAGAGTCTGGCTGCTGCTCAGGAAAGAAGAATATTGACAAAAGAACAATATGTCCATGGAAACGGAGTCAGGTTTGTGGAGATGCAAAGGCACTCACAGAAAGGACGCTTGTTTTCTCCATGTGTCAGTGCAACAGAAAATGAAAAACATACTTTTATGTTTTATATAGTTTATTTTTGGCTGAAATGGTGTGTATGTTGGCTTTCAAAAGTGACTGAGCCTGATTCCTGCTTAATAAAGTTTGTTAATTCATGCTTTATTAAAGTTAATTAAGGTCAATCATTTGTATATTAATAAATAAAATCTTTCAAGAAGATCTATTCAACAAAATTGACTTTTTAGAGCTTTTAACCATGTTATAGTTGTTTCTTCTCATGTGCACTCTCAGAGTTGTATTTCGAGTGATTCATGCATGTTTGAAACATTTTTAATCACTTATTTTCAGTCTTGTCACGTCGTCACTTTGGCACAAAAACTTTACCAATAACTTGATAAAGTCATTGCCTCAAATGCATGGCAACAAAATATGCAGAAAAAAAACTCTTTCTGCAAATTCTTAAAATGCTTAGTAAGGAAATTTAAATAAACCATAATTGACACAGTGTTTTGTTGTGAAACCCAGCGCTGCTGAAGGAGGTAGTATAAAACAACAGTAGAAATGAGGGCAGAATATGCATGAGCCTTATAACACTATGAAGATGTATGACCCCCACAAATCAGCAGCACGCTTTAGTTTCCTGACTCTATTTATCTCCATAATCTGAGGCTTCTTCAATATGGATGCTAATGCTTTCCTCCATTTATCTGCCATTTGTAGTTCCAAGCCGCTCAGAAAAACATGTGACATAAACATACAGTATACAACGGAGAAACTAAAGCGGACTTGTCATCCAATAAGTGTAGTCATTCTGATGGCATACTCTGTTGCTACTCTGTAAAGATTTAAATCCCTACTGCATAACTTTTTGGTCAAGAAATAGAATAGTTTGTTTGGAAGTTGTAGTTTTTTTCAATTTGGGTGTTTTTATTGCACTAAGAAGCGTAGAAGCATGTGTCCTTACTGTGAGCGGGCTTGCACCTCCACAAACCTGACTTATTTTGTCTGCAGTGGCTTGTTTCCATGGAAATTGTTGTTTCTTTGGCTATAACATCCCCCAGTATGACACAAAACCTATCTATCTCCATCCTTACATTGTTAAAGATGCACTCTGTAACTTTTCTAGTGAAAGGCCTGTCTCCTGCTTGTCTTATTATCTTCTTGTGTTATTTCGTTGCTTAAAATCCTCCACTGTATGACATTAAACACACGTTAATTTTCCCTCTGTTACCATGACCTTCCTTAATAAAAAATCTCATTACTCAAAAAGTAAGAGGTTTTTCAACCTAATCTTGTACCATATGGTAGAAAACTATATGAAGCAAATATTCAAACCAGTTTGTTAAGGATATGTAAGTGAGAACCAAGAGTTATCACTGTTTGGATTTATTGCCCAAAAAGTGCTGCATATTTCATTCCCTCCGTTACCGACATGAGTTTTAAAAATTTTTGTGAACAACTTGAAAGAATATCACAGGTTTAACTTTACCCTGTTGGAGTGCTAGCTCTTTCCTACATTCTGATACTTTACTTATTTCAATAGTTCCTCTAGTTTCTGAATAAGAGCTATTTGAATGTAAAAAATCTGCCCGTTTCCCTCCGTTACCACTTGACCGGACCCAACAGCATTATAACATGACTAAAAGCTCAAAAGAGACCATTTTGCGTAATATACCTTTAATCTCGCTGGATTTGATTCTGAAAACATTGTAAACCAGTTGCTTCCTGACACAACTCCTGTTCAGTATTATTAATAGTCATAGAGATGTACTGCTGCATTGTTGAGCTTGGAGCCAGTAAAGAAATAAACTTTTTAATTATGCTGAAACTCCCTGAAGGTGGATACATTTTCACAAGCATTATCAGGCCCACAGGAGCGGACATATTTAATGCAAAGCTGTTTATGCTATAGAAAAATTGTTCTTACCTCAGGGTGGACACGAGCCTAGGCCTGTAATTGACCAAGAAATTATTGCGATAAACGATAATATTGACATTTTGAGACCATTTTCAACTACCGTATTTTCCGGGCTATTAGGCGCTCTGGATTATAAGGCGCACTGTCATTAAATGGGCTATTTTCAAACTTTTTTCACAAATAAACCGCACCAGACTTTAAACGTCAGTGGGACTTTGTTTGGTGCGTTCACGGTGACTCTGGGCTTTGTTCAGTTGTGGCGTGTAGGGAGGGTGCTGTCTGGGACCAAAGGATTGTTGGCGTGTTCGCAGTGACTCAGTTGTTCAGTTGTGGCTCAGAAAGGCACATTGCACTCGCTTTTTCAGTTCGTTCCTCCATTCCATTCCTCGTCCGCGTGGAGTGATGAGTGTGGCTGCGGGTGTTTCTTACGGAAGCCGAGAGGGGTCACAACAAACGCAAACGCTGCACATGAATTAGCCATAACCATGGATCTATTAAAATAACTGGATACAGTATTGCTAGCTTGTAGCTGCCTCAAGTTGACGTAGTGGCCATTCAGTGGTACAGTCGAAAAAATCCCATGGGCCGAGAGAAGATTTTTCTCATAGAGCACAATGTAATCACAAACTGCTCGTGTTCAGCTGACAGGGCACCTACAACTTTCAAAAATGTCGGATTTTGTGGCGATTTTTACCTATTTTTAGATCATGCACTTTTTCTCAGCTCAAAATCCTTCAGTTGTCTTAACAAACGCTTTATAATCATTAGCTTCGGTTTTCTGAGGTGCAGAATTTACTCAGGGACGTCCAGTCAGCGCAACTGTCTGTCCCAGCCCCTGCTGTACTAGAGGTGCACTCACGTTGGGAGTTTTGGGCCGTGTCGTGCTCAGGCGCTGTTACCTGTGGTTCTGTGGCCTGTGTTCACACCTGCGCGGCTGATGGCATCGTTGCACGGCGCTGTTTCTTGCAAACAAAACACACAGCGCTGTGGCACAGTGGAGCTGGCGCTATTGGCAGACAGGGGCCGTCCTGCGGCATCAAGTGTCTTTTGAGTGGTGGGAGTGATGTTGCAGTGCGCGCTCCGTGGTGGGTTTGTGGATGTGGTGGCGGTGCGGGGGAGATTGGTAAGATTTTGTATTATTTGGATTTCATAGATGAGCCTAAATGTTTTAAATGTAATGCACAGGCTTCCGACATAATATCATATTTACAAATTCTAGATTGTGCAGAGTCTCAGGTCTGATCTGATGCTGGTCTGGTTCCTGTTTTGTCCAGTTCATTAAGTATAAATTACACATTCCAAGACCAGACTGTGAAAAGTAAAGTTTTCAACAGTGATGATGAATGATTAGAAAAGTTAATTTAAAAAAAAAAGTTTTGGACATTTTATTTTTCACATTAAGTTCAGCCCACACACACATTCACACACACACACATTCACGACACACATTCACATTCACACATTCACACATTCACACATTCACACACATTCACACACACATTCACGCACACATTCACACACACATTCACACACATTCACACACACTCACACATTCACACACATTCACTCACACATTCACTCACACATTCACTCACACATTCACACACATTCACTCACACATTCACTCACACATTCACACATTCACTCACACATTCACACACATTCACTCACACATTCACACACATCACTCACACACACTCACACATTCACACACATTCACACACATTCACACACATTCACTCACACATTCACTCACACATTCATACGCACATTCACTCACACATTCATACACCAGTGTACGCAGACACTGCGGGTGAGGTGGGTTAGGTGTCTTGCCCAAGGACACAACATTCATCTGTGGGAGCTGGAATCACACCAGCCAACCTGTGGGTCAGTGGATCTGACCACTCAACCAATGATTTTTTTTTATTTTTTTTTTATGTCAAGAGCGGGATTCAAACCGCCAACCAGTGGACGAACGCTCTAACAAACTGAGCTACTGCGGCCCCTGTGAAAAGACGGAACGTTTTTGTTTGTTTTTTTAGCTATTTTTGAGCAATAAAACTGCATGTAATTTAATAAATGTGAAGTAAAG